AGGGTTTAGTTATGAGGGTTTAGGGGTCAAAACATTTTTTAGTGTTTAGAATTTTAAGATATAGGTTTAAAAATCTATAATTAGTGGCATTTTTTGTAAATGAACACCCCTAAGTGGCATTTTTGCAAATGTGCACATAAAAAATGGCATTTTTGCAATTTCTCCAAAAAAATTTATATTTCATTAATTAACCAAATTGTCCTAATCCAATGGCTCTCATTTCTCCTCATCATGCTATTTTCATTATATTGCAAATATAATTTTTTTTTTGTTATTGTTGCAAATCACCCTTGTTTTTATCTAAATGGAAGAACAATTTGAACTTCTGTGACTTTTTTTTGGTTTTTTTTCTAGATAATGTCACAACAAAATATGAGTCTATTGATGGAATCAATTTTACTAGTTTTGGATCGTATTAAAAATTTATAGTTTTTTATATCAATAAAATGTATTATAAGAATTTAAATTAAGATAGTGACACAAAACTATGATAAAACTAGTAGGTTAAACTTAAAATTTTGGGGCAATTACAAAAATGGTATATTTTTGTGTGCACATTTGCAAAAATACCATTTAGGGGTGTCCATTTACAAAAATGCCACTAATTATAGATTTATAAAGCCTATATCTTAAAATTCTAAACCCTAAAAAATGTTTTGACACCTAAAACCCTATAAACACTCAAAACTAAACTCTAATAAAACATAATTAACCCAAACATAAATAATATAAGGAAAAAATAATTTTGAAAAAGTGGCATTTTGTAAAGATTTCAAAAATGTGGTATTTTTGTAAAATGACATTTGAAAAGTTGCATTTTTTGAAATTTCTCTAAATTTTTCATCTAATACAAAATTTTTTTAATCTCTTTGCTAAAAGATAAAATATCGTCATGGATAAAGAAAAATTGGGTTGAATAACCAAAAAAAAAATCTATAATTATAAATCTAAATCTAATGGACATAAGTATACCACATATGCTAATTTTTGCTAGTTTGCTAATTATTAATTTTTTTTTGCTAGTGAGCAAATTAACCCCATGAATAAAAGGTAAGACATTTTTCAAAGGTAGAATTTTCTCCAAACCAGTTTCCAAACTATATATACTAAACAACACAGAAACAAGGTCATTTTCTAAATTTTTGTTTGTGCTATTCTTTCCTTTAAAATTGGGATAAGGCGGGAATTCTCAAAACTAGATTTCGATCTGTATTAGTATTGATTATTTTTTGTTTTATTTCCACCATCAACTTGCTGTTTTTGGTCCCATTAGTCAACAACATTTGTTTACAAACACCACAAATTTAAAATCAGAAACCTGTCTAAAAATTGAAATACTGCCAAGTTTTAAATAGAATGATATCCTTTTTCTTCTTCTCACATTTGTGCCAATGGGTGAAGGATAAGAAGTTTGCTTTCTATATCCAATCATAGGATAACATAAAAATAAATAGGGATGATGAGGACACTATCTATATAAATCAAGATATAATTGATTGGTTCATTCTTGAGATGTGGTTTCAACAATTTCTAGATGACAGGTGGTGTGCTCAGTCTATATTTTCTTTTTGTCACATTTTAGTTTGATTTTCCGGGGAGAATATATAAATCAGAGATTATAAAATAAATAAAATACGATATATGATCCAAAGAAGTTATGGGAAAAAATTCGAAACTCTTTGG